AAAACCTCAAACCATGAAGATTCTATGAAAATTCAAAGAACCTATTGTAAGTCAATGACCTATTGCAATAAAACGGCAATTTCATACTTTAACCCCTAATACGATTCGCGTCGATGTGGCCGTTCAGCAATCATCTCGGATTCGGAGTTGTTCGGCCGGCAATGCCGGCTGACTTTTGGCTGTCGATCATGTCCGACATTACCATTCGAGCATTGAAACTACCGTCCGGACGTCAACGCGTCGTGATAGGTAGAACGAGACTTACGCCTGGTGCCTTAGCAATACATAGGTTCATAGCAGTTACAGTGCCACTCAGAGCTATAAATCGCAAAGGTCTGAGGGCAGTACCTCTGCGCCCGTCACCCTAATTTTACCAGCACCCTAACCCTTCAAAACCAAAAGATAGTAATGGTCACTTTGCCGCTTGGTGGAAGAAAGAGGTAAGGTGGCACAAAGTCCCTGGACGAGCTCTTTCACAAGGATTCTTACTGCTATCCAATGTAGATGATTTTTACTAAATCTTCGACCATTTATATTTACGATAAAAAATTTGAGAAATATGTATTATGTAAGTGGTCATTTTGTTTTTAACCGACTTCAAAAAAGGTGAAAATGCAAATTGTGTTATTCTAGAGGCCTTAATTTGGGACGGCTTTTGGACAATAAAAATATCAAAAACTTATGTAATGTATTAATGATTGAAGAACTAGAAGAGGAGTCATATTCCAGAACTCTACTCAATGCTCAAGTCAGGATTTGAGCAGACTTGAGTATGATTTCAAGCACTGGAAATACGACCCTAATGGCAAGGACTTGAGTATGGTTTCTAGTGCTTTGAATCATACTCAAGTATACGACCCTAGAATACGACTCTCGGTCTCGATTAGTAGTGAGATAATGAGAGATTTAGAAAACGATATACGAACAGCATTATTTACAACGCATATTGTTCATTTCGTCACAAAAATACCAGTTCTAAATCTCGTCCTATTAAGGTGGTCACGTTTCGTTGGACAAAAATATTCGAGTGTATCTTGTGAAATAAATAAAACAAAGACTAGTTTGTTATAATTATTAATACAAAGGTCGAACACTTAGAAAAAATGCCTTCGATATGCCAATTAAGCCACGGAACGAACCAGCGGGCCTCATGAATTTCTCTATGTGCTTGTTTTGTCGGATCTTTGTATTTGGTGTTCAACAACTTTTTAGCCATAACGCCATCTATAAGAAATCTATGAAAGTATTTCGTCGCCCAGTTAGATACCTTTACAGCTACCAGCCCTGGCTAGAGATGTCGCTATTCACTGTATTTAAATTTTTGTTGAATAATCTTTGTAGTAATAATATTTGTATTAATAATTATAAGAAACTAGTTGAGTAATTTCACAAAAAATAATTGAATATCAATTCAATAAAAATATTAATGGAGACTAATTTCAAATGGGTGACACGTTTTCTGTAACACGGGTGTAATTTAAATGAAGACTAATTTCAAATGGGTGACACGTTATCTGTAACATGGGAAAGGGCCCACACTCGTAAGGCTTTTGTAGAATATCATGTCGATACATTGCCTACGTTGCCTCAGCAAGCTCGGAAGCTGACCCGCTCCGTTAATAGATTGCTTTCTGTGACTGGACTAGAGAACTGTGTTATGCTAAGGAGAATGCCCAGGCACCAAACTTCATACGGTAAATGAGTGGATGGTATCTATTTGAAGTTTCGGATAGCGCTGTAACTGGCTCTCTACGTCACCCGCATCCGCATTGTCGTAAGGAAATGAATCCATAAAAATATTAACCGCTTGGACTTCAAATCAAATGTCTGTCATTAACTTACCAAGTTAACAAAATATTACAATTGTGGTGATTTAGACCTTTATATAATATTTTCATAGACAGAAACACTTTGCGCTTGTTCTTTCAATGTGTTTATGCGAGACCGAATTATGGTACGTATGGTATGGGATGGTGTAACAGGCTAGTGTTCGATCATGTCCGCAACTCGACGTCCAGGCGTCTATTTTGCAAGGGCAAATTATAGTCTGATTCTTTGATATTTTGATACAATCCCGCTTAGCATTCTGCCGTCATGTTTCTTTCTAATTTTTTTTTAACAATACCAAGGGACGAGGCACACAAGTCGTGCGCCTGGTGGTAAGCGACACGCCTGTCCATAACAGTTGCAGTGCCACTCAGAGCTTTAAATCGTAAAGATCGTAATCGCGAGCGTAATCGCATAACGCACTGCTTAGCGACAGAAATAGGTCACGTGGCAGTACTTCCCTGGACGAACTCTTGCACAATGGTACGGCAGTGGTACTCATCCATGCGAGTTCTGCACAGGCAATAACTTCTATCACTAGTAAGATACACTATTTGGATAGCGTTACTATGTAACAATTCATTTCATTGTGTTGTACAAGAGAAAAGTTTATACTATAAGTTATAGTTATTGGCCGTAACTACCTACTTACTATTATTCTTTTGATATGGTGACCGTACCTCAGGTCTCATATCCAGTCAAGCAACACTCTACAACATCATATTTCGGGTCATTGCCAGAGCCGAAACCCAGGTTGTTCTCGAACCCACGGGCACCACTACAGCCTAAAGGCCTGATAGCATGGCCTTCGGTCTTTGGAAAATAGGCCGTCAACGAGCTAGTGTGGGATGAAGCACGTGTGTACAAAGAGGTCCTTTCCCACGTTCAGGGTTCGTTACCAATGGCACGGATAACTGCAACGACTCAAGTACTTACAACTTCTGCTAGTGCTACAGTTTGTGCGGTGGAAATCTTGGGTTGAGACCTCCCTAGAATACATACTAACTTACTAACTATTTTCGCCAAAGAATAAAAATTTGGTAAATTCACTAAGGAGCCAATTCTTGTGGGACATTTTAATTTCCAATCGTTTTATTTTATCTAAAAACTATATTTAGTGTAATTATTTGAATAAAAATTATATTTATGAGCAAATAATACAACTGGTTTCATAAACAAACCATCAGTTACATAAAAATTATGTTGTTACAAAGAAAATGCGAACAAGTATGCACCACTACGGATAGGAATAATTGAATATATTAGTAACATCAAAATACACAAAAGAAACATTAAATTTAAATAAGTAACACATAACCGATTATTGCTGATTATAATTTATTGTATTGGATTGTTAAAATAATTTTGGAGATTGTACTCGAACTGAGGACGGTCATTGCCTCTTCTGCTTTCAAATTCCCATGGACAGACCTCGTTCAATATAGTTTTGAATTCTGAAAGTAAAAGCTTAAATACAACTACCGTACAAACACCTATTTTAGTAATAAAACATATTAAGAAGTATGGTGTACCTGTGTCGTATCTGCAATTGTGTTTTCTTAGATCACACTCATTCTTGAACGATACTACATTGCCGGTTTTGAAATTACAGGCACATACTGTATGTTTGCTTTCTGAAGGCAAACACTGAAGTCGAGAACACGCGTAAGATTTCTGAGCTTCTGGAGTGTTCGAATTTCCACCATCCACAATAGTTGCAGATATACGGCGTCCAACATTATCCTCTGTTCTTTTAGAATCAGGTACCTCAAGAAATGCAGAAATTTGTTGTAAGGCTGGGTTTGTTTCAATCTGCTTTTGATCTAGAATTTGTGACGATGCCTCCAAAATTTGATTTAATGTCATACCCGACGGTAAACTTTCTGCAAACGATTTACCATCTTTGTCTCCCATCATTGGGAATGTTATCAATGATTCCGGCTTATTATGACCAGGGGACGGTATAACTTTCTCTTGGGAAACTTCTAATAATTCCAAAATTAGAGCGTCCAACATTCCACTTTTTTGACCCTTACGTCTTGGATTTTGATTTCGGTATTTCGAAACCCCTTCATTGCAACAAGGTGTGCGTAACAAATATCTCATTGGCACTACTTGTCCACAGACGGCGTCTTTTATAACCGCTAGATAGAAAATGGCTGAAGCTGAAAAAGCAATGCGTAAAATATTAACTTCTTTCACAAATTTCTTAAATGCTTATGTAGATACCTGTAGGACTAGATTACTTTTCTGAAGTGGAATTAACTGTATAATATTTATATTATTGAACTGAGATAGGCCTAACTCACTGTACTCAACAATAGAGTTTAAAAATCCAGTTTCAAACATCACTGAAGAATAGGTGCTCGGTCTCTTACCGACCTATTTTTCTAACTAGGTATACTATGAAATGGAATGGTTGTTCCTAGATTAACTATAAAATAAATTGTGATATGTATAAAATTACCAACTAAAGCGAATATTGACACGTTCATATTAATAAATTGGAATATGCAAAAAACAAAACTCTTTGTAAATTATTTCAGTTTGTTAAAAAAATCAACACAACTTAAATGCTGACATCGCACTACTATTCTTCATAGCTTTTCATTACATTTCTATTACAGAATTTGATAAGAAATTATATCTTTTGCTATGGATTTTAAGTTTTATTAAATACGGTTGATTGGATCCGCTTCTTAATTAATTTACAAGAAAAAGAAATGAACAGTCACAGGTATTTAACGCACAGCATTTCAGTTAATAAAATTACTAAATAACGAGGTAAAGACAGAAAAACTTCTGAGCACAATAAGTTTATTTTCTATATTCTATAAAAAAAATTAAAAACTACTCCATAAAGAACACAGAGCTATTCCATCCTGTATATACATCAACTGTCACTATTGAATGAACCATCAAAGCCCTGAGAGTCAGAATAACCTTTAAAATTCTTATTTGCAAAACCCTTATCGGCAAATCCCTCCCTTTCGTAAATTCCTTTCTGGTGGTCGTGGTGGTAGCGTCCTTTGTTAAACCCAGCACCTCCTCCAATTCTAAATCCTAATCCTTTGGCACCAACCTTCTTTAACGTTCCCTTTGTTTCATCATCTTCATAAAACACTTTATCTTTCTTATATTCGTCCTTATGGTGGACTCTGTGATATCCCCTAGTTTTTGTGCCTTTTCTATATTTCCGATCTTCATTTCCCTTAACACCTACGGCTTGCGCTGCTACGCCTTCAACGACTGCATACAAGTCTTCATCGTCGTAAGCTCCTTGGTCATGTAATCCGGCGGAATTATAGAATTTTTTCAAGTTTTGAATATTGTGTTTATCATTCGAACCTCTGTTATTGGTGTTCTTCCTTTTGAACCCTGAAGTTTTCACATTTGTTTTACCTTGGTTATTGGCGTTTGTCGTTTCGTCTGCATCGTCCAAAAGTTTTGCAAAGTCATCTAGATCCTCCTCTTCAACTTCGTAAGCGAGTTGGTCGATATCACTATCCAAGTTATCAAACTCGAGCGTGCCTAGTCCAACTGGCGATGAGTCAGCCAAAAAACAAACTAATGTCAATGATAGAACGAAACACAATTTCTTTTGCATTGTGATCTGATTTCTTTAACCGCTCTTGAGCAATCGAAGTAGGTTGCGACACTGACATACATGAATGCAGGCAAGTTTATATAGCCTTTTAGCGGCCAAGGATTTATTTTTTCTGGAAGACGAGTGTAACGATCGTTTCTGGTTCCGGTCCATCGCAACCGTAAACGAGATAACTAATTGGTGTAACGGCTCGGATCGGCCAAGGTTCTCGTCTTCACGAGATATGTTCGATTTAGATACCAACCGTTGTACTTGCGCACATATTTTTTACAATCTTTCTTTATGTAATTCTATGTTAATGTTGTGGCACGGCGAGGTTTCAGCGAGTCAGGTTATTTGGTGAGTACGTAATGTGCGTTAATCCAACATTATTGTAAAACTATGGTTTGACCTCCTCAGTGGCTCTATGAACGTGGGACTTATTATTCTAAGCGTGGGACTATATTCGGGGAAAAAAATTGTAAATAGGTTCTGGTCTGGGCATTTTGCCCCAGAGTGATGTCCTTGGTCTAGTACTCATTGTATAGGAAATTTCCTTGTCTGAGACCAGGCAATTGGCGTGGTTGTAACTAGGGTGCGGGCATTCTATGTGAACTTGTATTAATTTTATCTACTAACTGCGATAGTCGTCTGAAGTTGTTTTCCCAAAAAGGCAATTCAGATAATATAAGAATAAGAAAAAGAATACTTTATTGCGTAAGCACCGGGACACACATGATGTTAAAATTAAAATATAATATTATAAACTTTAAATTAAAATGCAGTATTTACAACAAAAGTTAAAACATAATTATAATGATTAAAAAAAAATTAATAATAAATGCTCAGCTATTAGCTACAGGCTGATAGATTTTCAGCCTGTAGCGGTGGTTTTCAGCGAGCCCGATGTGAGTGAAGCAAGGACTCGAGCACAAACAAAACAAATACATGCGTAAAATGTGTGTGAAACTTGGTATATACTAAAACATTTACACTAAATATATAATACGAATGCATAGATAAATAAAACTGCATAAGTGTAAACTAATTTAATTACTTAATTAATCGATATATACTTATGTTATATTAAGATGTAATAAATAATGTGTGAGAAATAAATAAATAAATAATATATTATCACGTTGTTCCAAGAATTTCAGCAATTTCTTTAGGAGATTTCTGATGTTTAGCAAACCTTCTAACAGACGAGTTTTTAAGTTTTCTTATGCTTATGTATGTAGCCTTATCCAATTCTAAATCCCAATCCTTTGGCACCAACCTTCTTTAACATTCCCTTCGTGTTTCACTTCGTGATTCACTTATATGGTAAACAAATATTATAAATACAAAACAAATAATGTGCCATGAATATTAAGAACTATTATAACAATTTTTCAGTTTATTTTAACATATCGATAAACGTTCCTAATACTGTCAAACATGGCGAGACAGGTTCTCGACTTCCAACCGTTACTGGAGGCTGAAAAGAAGTTTTTTGAAATATTCATTTATTATCAAAAAACTTTAGGATTTTTTTTTAAATTGTGTAAATATCGATAGTCGTATACATATTATAGATAATAATTTGCAAAACTTTGAGTGTTGTGGGTAATAGGTACATAGATATCGTTATTTAGAGTGCTATTTATGTTGCCGCGCGCGTATGGACATGACACGCGGAGGGAACAATCTCATATGACGAGAAGAGTGCTAGGTATGAATGTGGAGGGATATAAGGGGAAAGGAAGGCCAAAGCAAAGATGGATGGATTGTGTGAAAAATGACATGGACAAAAAGGTGTGAGTATACAAATGACGGCTGCTAGGAGAGAGTTGCCGACCCACCTAGCGTGCGATGAGGATAGTAAGAAGATTTAGGTTACCGCGCAATCTGTAGTGCGTATAATATGTTTGCAGAAGCATATACAGATTGCTTCTTTAGTTTAATAATAAGAATGCGTCTAGCTCAGAATCGCGGCAGCCCGAAATGGCGTCTTTAGCGCCCTTGCCGCCTTATGGGACTCGGCGCCGACGATTGCTACAAGTTTTTTCGGATCTAATATATTTACATCCGAAAAAATAGTTATAAGTTAGAAACTTCTTTTTTTTTTAAAAATGCTTTTCTTGAAAAAACACAAACATCGCGTCTTGGAAGGATCCCCAAAAAATAGTTTTATTTGCAATACAAATTATTTAGTCATTGTAAAATCTAAAGAAAGTTCTTACATTCATAACTGCACTTGACTCCATTACGTTTTTCGATAAGGGGATCCGAGTTACTAGTACCGTTGACTTTGATCTCTCCGTCGGTTCAGTTGTTAAGCTAAACTCCCTTGCTCTTATTTTGAAGCTGGTTCCTATAGTTCACGAGACACACTTTTATTTAGTCTATAAAGCCCAATAAATTCGTAGCCGAGATTTCTAACGAAATTAAATTATTCGGCGAGTAGCAATCTTGCAACGGTATAATAATCGCACCGTGACTCACGCGCGCTCAAAAAAGTTTTCATGTAGTCCTAAATCAGCTATTTTTAATTAATTTTCAAAACAATACAGCGAAATTAATTATCGTGAAATGTTCCTCTCGAGTAACTTTTCATGATTTTGCTGTTTGAAATAAGCGCAATTTTCTATTTTGTGGACCATTTTTCGCTATTTTACGCACAGCCTTTTTGCTATTCGAAATTTGATACGTATTAGAAACATATAATATTATTATTCTGCCAATGCGGCCTTTTCAGCCTTGCTAATGTAGGTAGTGAAAAATACTGATTGAAGAAACGAAACAATGGAATTTTTCCTTAAATAATATTATTCTTAGACCACATAAGTGTTTTAATAAGGTTCGACATCGTCGTCATTGTTTTTAGTCTGTGAGAATAAAATACCCGATTCAAATGTGTATCTGATACAATATACTTATAAATATTTAAGGGCATATCAGAAAACTTAATACGTATAAAATTATGTCCACTATTCACTCTAACCTCTAAAAATATATTTCACTACAAATAAACCAACCGTGTAACAAAACTAGCATAAAAAAGCAATTAAAAACATGGTATATATCAAAACTAAACAAACATTTAGTTTACGTATCAAAAATACTGATTGCACAATAGTTGAAATAAACTTTAAACAAAATAACAGTTCTTTTTATTTATTTAATTATTTATTGTACAGTAAAACACAAACCACGTTTAGTAAAACGGAAAACCCAAACAAAAGGTACTGCTTATTTCTAAAATAAATTTCTTCTTGCACACTAAAATACAAGACGCAATAATTACAACAATGGGTTTACGTGCACAACAAAACTAAATTAAATTATGTTTTTTTTTATAACATCATGTGAAGGGACGAACAAGTCGTGCGCCTGATGGTAAGCAACACGCCTGTCCATAACAGTTACAGTGCCACTCAGAGCTTTAAGTCGCAAAGATCTGAGGGGCACTACCACTGCGCCCGTCACCCCGAGACATAAGTTGACAAGTCCCATGCGCCTGTAATTTCACCAGCACCCATACCCATCAAAACCGGAACACAGTAATGCTGACACTACTGCTTGGCGGCAGAAACAGGTAAGGTGGCAGTACTACCCTGGACGAACTCTGTCACGAGGAGTTCTACTGCTGCTAAAAATGCTATGTAATAAAATAATAATAAAAGAATGTCAGAAACAAAGTTACTGCAGTCATATATGTGTAATATCTCGAAATTTTACAGGAAAACCTATGTATTCAATAGGTACTTCACTAATATCAATTTTTTTTTTAATATCAAGTGAAGTAAATAGCGTATACTGTACGATATGAATTTTTCAAACGGAATTAATTTCGTTTGTAAAAAAGAAATTCGGAAATAAGGCCCGTGTCCCTGCCGCACGACTCAAGCAAATTGAACCGTATTAGTACGGGAAAAATTTAAAAACTAGCTGAGGTAGTTTTTTTTTTTTTTTTTTTATACCTGACAGGCAAATGACTCCACTCCACCTGATGTTAAGTGGAAAGTGGTATCCAGTACCGACTCTTAACTTCTTTAAACTTATATGTCAAAGACACTGCGGCCGAAATTCTAATTTGCCCGTTTCTGCAGCACAAAGATTCTATTATTAATATCGGCGGCATTACACCACAGCAAAATTCCACATCGACTATCTCAATTTTCACAACTTTACAGGAAGAAAAAATCATTTATATAGCATCTGGTTTATTAAATAAAATTACGACAACAATCTATACTACATAGTGTATATACATACATGTGTAATAAAAATATCTAATAACTACTTATTTTGATTTAATAAACCAGACGCTACATAAATGACGCAAACAATTCCTTTCTTCACCTGTTAAGTTGTCAAAATATACGCCATTAAACTATTACAGTAGCTGAAGTGTCTAAATCAATCTAGCGGTTTCGACGACTGAAAGTTTTCGTATTTTTTTTAATCGCGTACACTGCAAGGGGATTATAAAACGGGACGGCCCTCTACTAGATGGACGGATGACCTGGTAAGGTTGGCGGGAAACCGATGGATGCACGTCGCGTCCGATCGGCTGATCTGGAAATCTTCGGGGGAGGCCTATGTTCGGCAGTGGACGTCTTCCGGCAGGCATGATGTACACTGCAGAGCTGAGCCGTTTCGATAACTTTTTTTTATAATATCAGGTACATGCCTGCCGATAACAGTTGCAGTGCCACTCAGAGCTTTGAATTGCAATGATCTCTGGGGCACTACCTCTCCGCCCGTCACCCTGAGACATAAGTTGACAAGTCCCATGTGCCTGTAATTTCACCAGCACTCTTACCTTTCAAAACCGGAACACAGTAATGTTGACATTACCGCTTGATTAACTTAATTGTGGTCCGCATTGCAATTTAACATCTAAAGTTGTGGCTTAAAAATACGACTGTATCTACAAGGTTCAATTGTGCTGCAATTTTTGGCGCCATTTTCTAACTATAAATGTTTGTGTCCGTCTTTCTAACATTAGGTGATGTAAATTTCACACAATTCGTTTTGTTCTCATTAATGCACATGGGAGTGTTCAACTTATGTCTCAGTGTGAGTGACAGGCGCAGTGGCAGTGCCAAAGATCTGATCTTTGCGATTAGAAAGCGCTTACCATCTGGCGCGAAACACACAACTTTTCACCTCACTATAAGGCGGGAAATTGTAGATGAAAGAAAAACCGTTTAACTAGGTATAAAACCTTTTTTAATGAAAAGAAAAAGTTTATCTTCGGATACGTTCTGAATTTACACCTCATCAATTTTTATTCTTGATTGTACTTTTATTTTGTGTGATTATTAAAAGTGATTATTGATTTTTTTTTTAGTTCTTCGACGAATTAAAATAATTTAATGAACACAATTTGTTATCATTGTCAATTTAATGTTAACAATAATAAGAATAAAATATAGCAACGGATTTATTTTACATAAATATAAATAATGTACGAGAAATCGCTTAGTTGAATGTGCCGTTATCGTTTTTTTTTTTCATGGAAAGAAAAATTTAGGTGCACAATGATTTTATTTTTTTTAGACCACGGTCCGTCCAAAGAGTACTTTGATACATACTGAGTCCATCGTCAAGTTTGAATTTGAAAAAGCTTTTCCACGTTAGCGTGCACAAAACGCTTTTGCGCGCAGATTTCTAATGAGAAAGCCTTTCCGAGCTAGTGAGGTGAAAACAATATTTTTATATTCTAGCGCTTTGAGAATAAAAAATGCATTTGCGAATTATAGGTATGTCCGGGAGTATATTTGTAGATGTTGAATAGCACACTGAAAAAACCAGCACTAGGGTCGTTTAAATGTCAATGCTGACGCGTGCCGTGTCGAAGAATCGTGCAAGTGCCGTGGTAACCGTGGTAGCAAATTCATGGCCGCGGTGAACGCGGGGCTAGGGTTTTCGTGTCAAAGGTTTGGAGCAATTCCGTATAATTGGTATGACTAAGACTTTTAACACGTCGTTAACGCGGCGGTAAATGCGCTCATGAAGAACGGCCTTATAATTATTATGTGCGCACACATAAATAAAGGCTGTCGTGAAGTATTGCAATAAACTTTTCAATTATGTCTGGAATAATCCAAGTGTGCTAAGTTTTAGTTTATTAGCATTAAAAAAAAATATATCTGACTCAGATTGGCCGTATTACGGACAATGTGTTCGGGTGTGTTTGTGCGGTAGGGTTAAACTAGGGTTGTTACGAATATTAGCAACTGCATCCGCATCCGCGGATAATCAGTCCGATATTTATTTTTTATTATTCATTTATTATTATTATTATGTTTGGTATTAACATTATTTACATCACTCCGATTATAATATAGTTCATTATTCAGACGCACAAAAAGTATACAATTATAAATAAAGTGTGATGCAGTTGTCAATTGTCAATATGCCAATTTCCTTAAAAATCTCCCTAAGTGAGGTACCTCAGAAAGGACGACCCTCTCGCTGGCCCTCTTCGAAGACGGCGACCGGTTAGTCGGAGGCAGTCAGGCAGAGACGCCAACCTTCTTACCCCTAACCCTACTCCCAAGCTTGAGTAAGGGAGAAGAATAAGCATGAAACTAGGAATTGCTCTTTTCAAATAAACTTAAACACTATAGAATACACTTTGAATCTTTGTGTGGAATCTAGAGCCATGTCGTCTTTCTATACGCCTTTATCTAACGCGTCATCTTCAATTTTGTAATATGAGTTTTCAATCAAACGAACAATTAATAAACCAAAGTTTCTGGCACTTTACAAGTCACAAATAGTAGTAAGAAGTTCGTTCGAAAAAACAAATATAAGTGGTTTTAGATCCGAAAAAGTAGTGTCTATTCCACCGTGTATTTATCGCGAGAAACTAAATATTAATTAAAGAACATTACAAAATCTCCAAGAAATTGTCATGGAACAAAACTTGTTGTTTATGATGTTAGCAATATAGTCCTGCGAGGATGTGTTAGCATTTTAAAAATAACCGTGTGTACGTGGAGCTTAGAACTCTAATATTCAAGTACAAAAAAGTTACCGATGAATTCATTTGTACAATATTTAAACCCCTCTCCTGAAAATTTGTCATTTTGCAAATGTGGCCTTATTACACACTAACGGTGGGATATGGCATAATGATCATGATTTAGTAACTAAATCATTATTCATTTATATTATCATGGTTTCCCAAAGTGGTCTTACCGCCACCCAGTGGGCTCTGAAGAGTTCGAGGGTCGGGGCTTCGGAAGCAATTGCGGGCGTTGAAGCTGTCAAGGGGGTGCTACCGCATTTGAAAAAAAAAGCCTGACCTATCCATATAAACTACACTACAAATATATGTTTTTATTTCCTTGTGATATTTTGTGTATGATTAATGTAAAAAATACGTGTTTCAATTATTTTTTGTGATTAGGTTAAAACTTTTTTATTTTGCCTATATGGGCAGTGAGCAGAAAAGTTTTGGAACCTACGATTTATATTTTAAATTTTAGTTGAACGGTGTTGTCAAACACTAGACTAAGCTACACCCTCGTAGGGTTTGCCCGAGCTTCCCAACCGCCTAATGATTCCCACTCTCCCCTACGTCATTGATACCATAAGAAGAACTGGCAATTTTTTATTGCCAACAGTGGCTACGCGGCTATATATTTCACTTGGTATTTATACCTTGTGTTTTTGTTTTGTAATCTTATACTCGTATTAACTAAAAGTTTCAATATTGCCCTTAAGAATTAAATAGATTAGAATAAGTAAATATATTTTTTTAATTCGTTTATTCATTCGCAATACGTATAAAAATAATGAAGCATATCGATAAGTATCAAACATAACAAATTAAAGGAATTACAAGGTTAAATGTATATACAAAACTTAAGGGATAATTAGCGATTATTCTTCATCTTCGTAGATGTCATCGTCATTTACGTACGCATATTCCTTTTCACGATCGCTTCCGCCTTTTTTGGCAAAGCTTTTCCCGTGTCTATAATGACTTTCATTACCCTCCTCAGCGAAACGACTGTGGTCATTTTTATCAGTATGAACCTTGGCATGGAATCCATTCTTTCCAAAGTCACCTTTATCGTAGGCAGCCTTGTGATGTCCACCCTTTCTGTGAGCACCCTTACTGGAGCCATGGTTTTCCTTTTCATAACCATGCTTTTTGAAATGTCCACTATTATCGGCAACGTCATAAAAGTCATGATCTTTCTTGAATTCATCCTTATGGAAAACTTTATGGTAACCAGTGACGTCCTCGCCCTTAGAAAAGTGTTTGTTATGACCATGATTACCACCCTTGTACACTTTTCCAGAGTTGTAATGTTTCCCTTGAGCGCCAGCTTCGTTATGGTGACTCTTTGTTAAACCATCACCCTCACTGTAAAATCCTGCATCATATTTCTTTCCGTAACGTCCTGATTCTCCTTTAGCGTGATTTTTTGAGGACTTATATCCTTTACTTCCTTTTTCGCCATGAGCTGCTTGATGTTTTTCTTCATAATCACTACCACCACCTTTTACATAAGCATGTACTTGTTTATCTCCGTCTGTATATTCCTCTAAAGCTTCATCAGTATCGTCGTCATCTTCTTCTTCATAATCTTCTTCTACAATTGGCTTCGCAGCAATGTACGGCAAGGGCGCAGGCTCCAAATCGTAAGCTTCTAAAGCTTTTAACTGAAGTGGTTGTGCCAGAGGCTGAGCCAACGGCAGAGGTGGTGTGAAGACTTGTGGCTGCGTGTAGGGTACAGCCCCTAGCTGGATGAGACTTGCTGGTGCGTTGTGATCGTTTCGATAGATAAATCCACTAGCAACAGGGGCTATGTAACCGACTTTGGTAGCTGCAGCTGCCGCCACAATAAACAAAACACTTAGAGCTGTTTTCATCTTGAGGTGTGAATCGTTCTGCTACCGGTACAGTAATAATTTGATAACAACGTTGCTCAATATTTATATCTAGGTTAGAGACAAAAGAAGGACCGTCAGTGTGCATGTACCTTTCTTGTAGCCATGTAACAATTTGCTTATCAGACGAGGTTATGGGTGACAATGACATTAGTAATGAAAAAAACGGCTATTGTGCAATGTTATGCCGGCACGCTGACCGCAAGATAAATGAGCGTGAAATGTTTATTTTCCAGAGCCTACTAGAAACGGGTGACAATTAGATGACTAAGTAAATCCGTTTTTATTACATTCCACTTTGTAGTAGCGGCACAATTTAGTGTCAGTTTCACAATTTTCTTTATTATTTTTTTCAAGATTGTGGTTAGTTTAAACGATAAACAATAGGTTTTGTGTTGAGTAAAGAAAGTTTAACTGTATTTTCTACTCTTCTCTTCCTTATACTTCGAAGACATAAAAATACAGCAATGTGGAAAAACTTACTTTTTAAGGACGAGACCATTGTAGAAGGTAGCAGATTACCAAGTTAACACAAGGCAACTTCTAAATACATAAAAAATTACTTTATTACTAAATCAATAGATTTTTAAAAAAAGAGTCTTGTGAACTTTAAAATTCCTTCATATCGTCGTTTTCCAAACTTGGACCGGGAACTTGCAACGAAGCTAATAGATGCTACAGAGCTAAAAAATTCTATGAAAGAAGAAAAGCAACTTAGAAGAACAACAATTAAAGTAGGTAAGAAAAAAATGTTGAACATGCATGCAAAGTAATGGCGGACAATTCGAGAAAAAATTTTAACAAAAAACCAAGATCACAAAACGTCTTTTTTATTATTTCTTATTTTATCCACAAATCGAATGATATCTGTAACATGTAGCACGTGGTCGGAAAGGGTATAATTAAGAGAAGTTTTTAAAATAAAGCTAATATTTTTAAATAATTTTTACTTTATTTTTTAAAGAGTGGCGGTAGTTCCAACAGGCAGCCTGAATCCTGTTACTAACGCGCAGAGCGCCGAGATCCTTCCGTGTATAGTTAATCCACAGACGTAGGATTGACAATATGCATTGAATAAAGTTATTTTGGTTTCTTCAGTACAACGGGCGAATCTATATATGCGCCAACATTATTACATTATAACATTTTTAGTAACAGTAAAGCAGCTCTTCGTCCAGGGAAGTACAACCTGCTGCCAAGCAGTAATGTCAGCATTACTGTGTTCCTGTTTTGAAGGGAAGTGGGACTTGTCAACTTATGTCTCAGTGTGGTTTCCATTCATTGTTACAGTACCATTCATTCAATATCATTCATTCGTATCTCTGAATACATTATTGTTATACACTTTTGTTTTAATGATAATTTTAAATCATGTGTGTTCTCTTTCGTGGTGTCTAAAGAACTTCCACAATGCCAAGTTAAATAGACAATCTCCAAGATTAGATTATTAGAGACTACGACATATCTATAAATATTAAATAAGATACATACATATGTTAGCAGCTCGGCGCATCTATGCTGTAGATTAATCAATCGGACTAACGGTCCTAGCTTTATATGCTAAAAACCACATGGAGGAGTACTCCAGGCTCGGAGATGTACATGCGTGCGCAACGCGACTTGCGGGCCGGCTGCGGACTACACCACGGCGGCTTCCGAAGACATCCAAATTAATGCATGTAATGGCATCGGTGCGGCGGACAACAACCGGCAACCAAATAACGTGCGGAGTGGACCATCGAGGAATTCGTTCACATTTCTCCTGAAAAGGTGACTTGTTGAGCAATCACTCTACGCTTTTGATGATAGTGTTGTGTATTAGTATTGTGTATAGCATTAATTTATTCTTAGTAAAATGTCATAATTGTAATTATTATGCGTGACTATGGGCCGTATTCCAGAAATCTACTCAATCCTCAAGTCAGGTCTTGAGTATGATTTCAAGCACTAGAAATGCTTGCCATTAGGGTCGTATTTCCAGTGCATGAAATCATACTCAAATCCTGACTTGAGCATTGAGTAGAGTTCTGGAATGAAGTCGCGAGACTAATTTAAATTCACCCAACATGTGATCCGTTTAGGGTTGCCAAATACTGACTTACCATTTCCGGGACAATTCCTTTATGGTAAGGGAGACCGGCCGTAGCAGTAAATAATGTATTATGAAAATAAATAGGTTGAAAATAATTAGGCCTCTATAATGTTTTAGTCGACGTATTTTTAAAGGGAAAATAAAAATGCACGTTATTTTCAAATACCCCAACACATAACGTACTGTGAATTTTTATAATATTATAACAACCGAACTAAAATCAAGCAATTCTCGTTTACTAAAAAAAATGTAACTTAACTTAAAAGTTAACCAGTTAATGTGAAACCTAAACTTACAACAAAAATTGAGCACATAAGGAGGTGCTCAAATTTTGTTTTGTTTGGCTTATTGATTAGGTAACCTTTGGCTGGAAATGTGACTTCTTGTGTTTTTTTAATGTGAATTCTTGTATGAAATGGACTCTAGTAAGTTTTTAAAAACAATTTCTAAGTTTTGTATCGGGTAATAGGTCCCCGATTCTACGAACATCTACCCACAGACCTGAAAAGTGTTAGAAACGATGAAACGTTTTGTACCCGACTAAAAATCCTTTTATTGGATATTGAATTGTACAGTGTCGATGAGTTTCTTTTGAAACAATTTTAATTTTATTTTATTCGACAAGCAGTAGTTATACTACTTTATTTTATATTCATTATTATTATTATAATTTTATTACTGACGATCATAGTTATCCCTTGACATTGTATTTCCAATTGTAATATTGTGACATTGATAACATGAAATAAACGATTCTATTCTATTCTATTTTTCAATTTAAAATTTGTTTCTTGATCTACTGATGACTAAGTAGTATTATTGTAGCACTCTATATCGACGTATATCCAATCGTTTGGTCAGCGCACATTATGCGTTCCGGGCTCGTTCATGCGTTGCTTTGATTGAACGCGTTCGAGTCACACTTCAACCGACTTGAATGAAACAAATAGTAAATGTTAATCTAAGATTATCCTAAATATATCACGGAAAACCACAACCACTGCTATTGACAGGCGTATCACTTATCCCCAGGCACACGACTTGTTCGTCACTTAGTCTCTTCTTCTTCTTCTTCTTGTCCTTATCCTACGCTAGGTGGGATCAGCATAACATGTATTTTTCTCCCACTCTATCCTATCAGCCGTCATTTTTATACTCACACCTTTCTTATCCATGTCATCTTTCAAACAGTCCATCCATCTTTTGTTTGGCCTTCCTCTCCTCCTGTATCCTTCTATATTCATACCTAACACTCTTCTCGTCACATGACATTCTTCCCTCCGCATGACATATCTATACCACGCTAACGCATTACTCTTCATCGGAAAATATGGCGCCACTTTCAAACTTCCCCTGATGTACTCATTCCTTATCTTATCCTTTTTCGTTACTCCACACATCCATCTCAACATTCGCATTTCCGCTGCATGCACAGTTCGTTCATCGTCCCTTTTCATCACCCAATATTCTGATCCATCTATATGGATTACGATCCATATAGATGGATCAGAATGTTGGGTACCATAGTACGCTATTTATTATACGACAGGTGTAATCACGGCGCCGTCACTGGGTATTATAAGAAAAAAAATTGTTCAGCTATTGTACAGATAAATAGAGAAAAATTGTATAAAACCCCTTTTTTTAAATGAAATTATTCTCAATTTTATTACTTAAAAATGTTAAAAATACAGACTTTTTACAATTTTATTACATTGATTATCTAATACACTTAGGCTCTATTGTGGAAAGTATATGAGTTAATACAGAAACTAATAAAGCAAACTCAGCTGGATATTCTTAATTATATTAAATATATGTAAATTAACATAATAATATGTTCTAATTATTCCCTTTTGTGGCGCACACACTAGACAATTAGATCAAAGTAAAAAAGTTATCTGCGCAGCTCTCACCAAGTCATTGCATTGTGCACTATAATGATGTAGTTTACAAATAAATATAAAACACGCAGGCATAAATATGGCTTATCTTTATTATAAAATACTTGGACATTATATTTACAAAATTTTAGTAAAAATTAACGTAACAATAAAGTATAACAACAAGAACCTTTAACGCCATCTCATCAGTGTTTAATGTTGTAGCCATAGCTCTTGTCGTTGTGTTTCCCGCCTGCTGTGCCAAAGTCACCGTGGAAATGCTGGAAGGACTCCCTGCCATTTTGGGCGGTGTGTCCACTGTCGTACTCGTCGTCGGCAACTTTGTCATGGAAATCGTCTTTTCCGAAATGTGCTTCGTCATGCCCTGAGTCATGTAGACCTCCGTTTTCGAATTTTCCGGAGTCTGATCCGTAATAACCGCGTCCGCCTGAGAATTTATGGAATCCACCTTTAAGCGTCTCTCCGTCATAAAAGTCATCGTCTTTTTTGTATTCGTTCTTATCGAAGAGCTTATGAAATCCATCGACCGCTTCACCTTGGCTTTTTCCGGTTTGATATCCATGATCCTGTCCTTTATACCCGTGCCCGTTCGCGTAGAATTTACCAAAGGAATCGGCGTTATCGTAGTCTTTATGGCCACCACCTTCTCCTGATACGTGATAAGTCTCATATTTTTTGGAGTGGTAGTCTCCAGCACCACCTTTCTCAAAATTATGTTTTGTTCCATACCCTTCATGTTCTTTGTCTCTGTTTTCTTCATGTTCTTGTGCACCGTAATCTTTCCCATCACCATGTTCATGATATATCCCGTCCTCGAAATATCCCAAACTTTTTAGATAATCATCAAAGTCAGCATTGTAATTTCCAAAATTTGACGCATATTCTCCAAATATGTTTTCTTCAGCAATACCATCTACTTTGTCGTCTTGAACTTCGACAACTGGAATAACTTTAGATTCACTAGAAAAGGACGCAGCCTTATCTTCATCCTCTTTACCATAAAATGGTCCGGCTGCAACGGGAATGGGTGCCGCAAATGATTTAGGTTGTTCGTACACTTTGGACAAATGTTCCATTACTTCACTTTCTCCCATTTTAATCACACTGGCTGCTCCGTCACTCTCCTTCTTGTATATGTATCCAGTAGCAGCAGGTTGAAGGTCAGATCCAGTCGTACGGACCATGACCATTCTTTCAACTGTCTCTTTCATTTCCATACAGGATCCGTAAGCAAATAAAAATATTATAACAATTTTCCGCGGCATGTTTGCGGAGTCACTGCTGGTTACAGTAATGACAACAAAGGTCAGGACAACACTTATATAGTCAATATAATACTGCATCGAGCGTTGACATTCATAAATGGCCCGATTCTGGCGCTCTCTAAGATTGCGCAATGGTCTTCTGTGTCAATGATAATGAAAAACTTTGTGTAAATTACACGGCGCATAGCTACGCGTTCAACTAACCGGTAGGTACATAAAAACTTGCATGTTAATTCAAACGTTGACAAGTAACGAAGGGCATCAATAAAGATGCGGAAAAATTGATGAAACATGACAAATCAAAACAATTGCAAAAGTTGCTTTGAAAGAAGTAAACATATAGCCTTCAATAAGCTTACTCAAAGAAGAACAATTCTCACCCTCAATAGTAAAATGACGTAATTTGAATAATTTTTTCTTAATTAAAAACTGGCAAAGTAGATTAAAACTGTTAACTTGCGTGGGTGTCAGCCATAGTGACAAAATTTCAATTTGATATAATTGGATAGAAAAAAAACTATATATTAGTTTTAGTTCATTTATATTTATTTTTTTGCCAGCTTCCCAAAAATTTTACTTTGCAAATGTTATGCATAATAGTACATTGTATGTTTACTGCCCGTAAATAAGAAATTACTAACTGTTAAAAAGAGTTTGTTGGAAGCTCGAAGCTGAAGGCTAAAGGCTTTAATGCCTCGAGGTTTGTAATTTTTCCCGCCCGTTCTACATACAATGGCGGGATTTCATTTTTTTTATATATTACGAAGGCAGCAAACAAGCAAACGGCCCGACTGACGGAACGCGGTCACCGTCGCCTATGAACGCCTGCAACACCAGGAGTACAAGATCCACTCAGTTCCAGAGTGTGAGGATGGCTCAGGATGGACACCCTGCCGGTGGCGAGCGGTGCGATGATAAAATGTTGCTACTGGCATCATATCAAATAGGTCTCTTTTTTAAACATTTTTAAACATTATTCCATAGACAATACAACTCGAACTAAAATGTTATAAAAGGCACAAACGCATGCAGCCACGATGTATTAGATACAAAATAAATAATTTTCAAATTCTAAAAATACTGCACAATTGGAATTCACAAAATAAACTTATAGTTAAAATATTTCGTTTTTTTCTATACTTAAAGCTTAAACGAAATACATTCAGATTTTTTGAGCACAGAAAATGACTATTACCGCCCTAGGACGGTAGTGTAATAAAAAACTCGTGGGTATAGTTTAGGACATTACGGTCCACTTTGCCATGCCTCTGTTTACGAGCAGGTGTGATGAAAAGTAAATTTTGTACACCTACAGATAGAAGACATTTGCGCTTTTCAATACTATTAGCGAATCGTGACATTATTTTATTTTATTTTGTTAGAAAATTTACTTTGCTTCAATGAATATTAGTTTTATCGAAATAACAAATAAATCGACATCGTCATCATCGAATCAGCGGAACGTTAACAGGCGGCCGCCATTACCAAAAACATCTTTGACTAGAAAAGACGTGGTTTTGATTTGTTTAGATTTATAGTATAACAGTCACTGGAGTCCCATTTCTATGTCTACTAGGCAAATCTCACAATACGTTTTACGTTTTCATTACGTCATCGATCTTTTTATTAATGTACTTAATTTTTTTTAAGACTTCCTCAATCTAATTGAGATGTACGGCGAAGTAAACCCTTCCTCATAATTTTCTTTTGGCAAATTTTGAAAAATCGTAATAAAATGTCTATAAAAGTGCCAAGGTGGGTCGACGACGGACAATGTAAAAACGGACAAAAAAAAGTAATGCGCGCTGGGCGTCAATGGATGCGGTTACCACGGACCGTGGTGGATGCCATGAACTTCGGGAGGCCTATACCCAACAGCTGAAAAGAGGCTGTGGATGATGAATGATGATGAAAATTAAAAAGTTGTGATTGTCGCCAAAGTCCGAGGTTAGGTTATATAATAAAAAGTATTAAGCTAATATTGTAATTTATTCATTCCACAGGGAATGTGCCTCTGCTTACGAAAAACAAACCTTAAAAGAAGAGTCCTTATTTCCTGAAGATAGTAGTGTTTTTTATAAAAACTACACAAGTTTAAAAGCAACCAAAAATATAACATTTAGAAATACAACGCATACTTTGCGTGCTTTATTGAATGTTGAAAAACATATTCGAGTGTAGCATATATTATTTAATATATCAAGATAATATACGAGTACATACTTGAATATATAAATAATAATAATTGCCACCGGAATTAAGTAGGGAAAACTAATCAGAAAATAACCCTTTACTTACGTGGCTACTTACTAAACTATTGCATATCGAGTTTTCAGGTGCATTCGCCATTGTTACAAATTGGATACGAAACTATTTATTCGGGTCTATAGCATAAATACATTCGTTTTCTTCAGACAAACCAACGTTTTTGATCCTGTATGTTGAGAACCGAAAATAATTAAAAATGACCGACCCCAAAAGTGTTATGTAAGAAAGCGGGTTTTCACCCGCTTTCTTAGATTTCTCCAATAAACAAATTTGAATGGATCACTAGTGAGGTACCCACTTTCCAACGAAGAAAAATTGAAATTGGTTCACAATAGTCGGAGGAGTAAACGCATAACATACACACAATAAAAATGTCGTCGAATTGAGAACCTCCACTTTTTTGGAGTCGGTTAAAAATAGTTTCATTTCTGATGTATTACAGTCGATTAGGGTAATTTTTTATGTACTCTTTTACTAGCTTTGATAATATTATTCTTTGCAAATAAGTCATTAAGTAATTCAGTGTACATACTACAATAGTAATTAATACACGAGTCGTTACGTAGTGTTCGTCAGAAATATCTTGTATATAACCAGAAATAGAGACGAAATGTCATTTAATTTGTTTGAAAACTATTCTGCCAAATCATTAAGGTGACAACTCCGACTGGCCATCCCGAATTCGAAACAATTGACGGGTGTCGTCAATTGTTTCACTTCAAATCGACCAGTTTAACTTGAGCTTTGCTCTAATGGACGAAAATTGAAAAATTATATATTTAATAGTTAATTACCGATGAAATGTAATTCCGTTTGTTTTGTAATTAGATGTTTTGCTTTCCCACTTTGTGTGTGTGTTGATGGTATCCACCAGCTGGTTACACCATACCTTACAGATTGAACTATATTAGTAATATTAGAAAAATGCATTGTAATAAAAAATGGAGTAAAAAATTAAGAACGCCTTATCAATATTCACGATAATTTTTATGTAGACCGTATTTGACGAGACCGTAAGCTTTTCTGGATACACCAAAATCATCTGTGTAATTTGGAGATAGTCGTTTTTGTTTACCACTGCCTTTGTCAGGATATTTCATGTGTTTGGCTGCAGCTGTTTTTAGAGTTGACATGAACGGAACAATACCCGCCACGCGGTCTATTATTTCTGGAGTGTCATTTATGTTTGTCATGCTCCCAATTCCTAACGTCTCCATAGAAGACCGCCGTTGTGAATTCGTATATTTGTCGAATTTGTTTTCGCTGGTCGTTATGCCCTTTGTGACAGTCGCACTGTTGTCTTTCCCAATGTATTTCCTCATATTTTCATAAGTTATCTTACGTCTAAATCTTTTTGTTACAGTTGTTGGTACTGCTGGTCCTTGTAGCCCATTTACTGCTTGCGCTGTTATATCGCCTGGAACGCTGTAAATAATTTGAGAGGCACGATTTGGGACGCTAGACTGTTTTTGCAGCGTTTTGTCAACCACGGCCGAAGTAGGCATCTTTTGATGATAATTGTCTGGTCTATAGATCGACACTCCAGTAAGCTGGCGGTTGCTATTTAATTTCACTCTTTGGGGAACAGTTGCTATTTGAGTCTTATGAACATTCACTTCTAGAGAACTGTGACCATCAAATGATCTTTCTTTCAATCGGCAGTTTCTTTGATCCTTCTGTTCAAACAATTTTACATGTTCTACGCTAACAGGCATCCTGAAGAACACGAGATTAGAGTTTTCCTTTCCCGAAGCCACGCGATTGGTGTTTACTCTTGATTGAGTTTCTTTTTTGTCAATGGTGCGCATCTGTGGTGGTTCCTTTTTGTCTTTTGATTCTCGAATCATTAAATTATCAGATGGTGGTGCGTGTAAGGCGCTTGACGCCTTTTTCATTTTGAAATGCAAATCTACTGTTTGTGCATTGTCAGCTTTCACATGTCTACTAAAATGTTTCGTTTGTAGTCCAGTAAAGCCATATTTGAAGTTAGGATCACTATTTACGCCATTAGTTCCCACGTTTTGAGCATTGTCGTAAATGTAGTACATCACCACAGGTGTCACAGAATTTAAATAAAGAAGTGCGACTACAAACTCAACAACTATCTTCATTTTGTCAAGATGTATACTAGGAAGACAAAGTCGCTTCGTTGTTCTTATAAGTTTCTCAGTTGTTATTAAACTGTTTGTTATTGGTATCAGTAATTAATAAACAGCCTTGTTCTCGTGATACACTATACAAGCTGCAATGTACATAATGATTTGTTTGAGGCACCTTGTTTGTTTAACCATAACATTTATTAGAGATTTTTTTTTTAAATGATTAAACATTATTTTAATAAATAATAACGCTCACAATCAACATAGCCCCGCACTGGGGAAACCCTGTGTCGCGGGTGCCATGGACACACACAAATTACACCCAAACTCACGAGAGAAATAAATGTAGGCCATACAAATATTTCTCCCGGCCCGGGAATCGAACCTGGGACCTCTGCGTGGCAGTACGGCATGGTAACCGTTCGGCCACGGAGGCAGTTATTGAAAGTACGTTCCTACCTGCACTTAGACGTGGTTCATCTAACTCACATTATCACATCCTAACACACCCTTTACTACATTAAGAGAGAGATAGTATTTCAAGTTTAGGCGTTTAGAGGTTCATTAATCAAACTACACACACGAGGATTGTCGAAATGGTTACTTCCGTCGCGTAACTGAAAGCAATTCCGTTCAAACCCGATTATGTTTTGAAATGAAAACAATATATAAAAAAGTATTTTATATCTGGAACCAGAGAATGGCTTAGATCATTAAATGGAACCCTGAAACTACTTAAATGCTCATTATTATGATAATAAAATCTATTAATAATCTTCTTATTCATTACTCGTACATTGTTTGCAATTTTCTCCAGACAATAACAGAAAACATTACACAGTTTACTTTCGTAGTCTTAACATTAACATATGACTAGTCGATCGTTCGTTGTAGTCGGTCGTTGCCCTGCAGAGCAACACGCGAAAATGAAAATTTTACTTTTAATTCTTATAAATTTGTGTATCTGGTTACCCTTAGAGAGTAGATTGATTCCAAAATATACTGAAAGTACTACTGAATCGAAATCAGCCGATCTCGCATCATCTCGGGTTACGCGAAGTATATATGAAGATGGCAGCGGGCGAGGATTTTCTAAAGAATACGACGTAAGCAACGAATATACCACGGGACAGAAAACACGATCAGTTTTCACAGAAATGCCCACTGCACGATATTCTATAAAAACTACTCGCATAACCCGACAATCACAAGAGACTCAAAGTGAAACACCTAACAATACAACTCCATACCCTGACCCTCAAACGACACCGAAGGGGTCATTGGTCAAGAAGCCCATACCAAAATTTAACGAGATGGACTACGATGAAGATTTTCAAAGTAAAGTTACACGATCTCAGACTAAGTTAGCTGAGTCTGGAGAACATGAAGATGAAGATTTTAGTGTAGATGATTACGACTTTGATATAAATCATGATGAATTTTCTGGCAGAGGTAAGCCCCTTGAGCCAAGAGTTAAGAACAAACATATTTTGGAACAGAATTTTGATTCCGAAACTGACACTACTCCGAGTACATCGGCTGGCGGCGGTCCAACTTCAGTTGTCAAAACTCAAAACAAATTGGTGGCAGTTAAAGTTTTAAAGAAGCGAAATGGTTACAAAGTAAAAATCAATAAAAGAGCAGCCCAATACAATAATGTAAAAAAACCTTCTAAAAAAGCGTCAGATAAAACCAAAGCCGATTATTATGACGAGGAATCGTGGACACCATCAGCAACAGAAAGCTCGGAAGTAGAGAATAAAACTATGGATTCATACGAAATGAACGAGGACATCGACGACGGCAAAGAGAATAAACACAGAGCAATATGATCTTCTTCACATGACATAATTTACGGAGGATTGGAAAACAGATAAAGTTTCCCTAGTTAAGAGATTTATGACACACTTATCTACTGACAATGAGTCTCCCTTCATAAGCGAACCTTTGATATTCACATGGTTTTGATGACAACATAATCCAACATCGAAATCTAGTACATGGCAGTCATTACGGCAATTGAAGAACTTAATTAAGTAATAAAATTTTATTTTATTTTATATTATTAATTAGGTTTTGTGAAACTAACCGAGTAAGGAGTACATTGTGTATAAGTTAATGTCTCATTAAAATGTTTATCTCAAGCTGTTAAACTCTGTTGTAGATGCACCCAAAGTAGCATAGGTATTTAGTAGCAGAAGAGCTCCTAAAGGAGTTAGTCCAGGCTGTTACTGCCAGCATACTTATTCCTGTCGTCAATCAGTAATGTGAACATTACTGCGTTCCTGTTTAGGAGGGTAAGTGTGTTGGTGCACATGAGATTTATCAACTTCATGTCTCAAAGTAACGGGCTCAATACCAGTCGCTTTATGATCACAAACAAAAACTAGTTAGCAAACCTAGTTCTACTAATATACCCTTAATAATATTTATTGGTATTTCGATGAAGAAAGTAAATAAAAAAAAAGTAAATTTTTGTTTTTAAATCCGGAAAAATAGTTTCATTTCCTATGTGTAACAATCGCGAAAACCTAAGAACTCGATAAAGTAAATTTTTTCATTAATATATGTAGTCATATTGTTGGGTCATTTTTTAAATTTAGTTGTTCGCCAAAACGGTTTTTTTTACGTAAACTCAATCAATGCCGACTTTACCTGTCATTTAGGGTGTGCGAGGCATACGGACGTAGGGTCGTAAGGTGCTTATCCACCGGCGAGGCGAGGCGAGACGAGGCGAGACGAGGATTGAAATTTGTATGGCAAAATTTAAATTCCGTCCAAGCACATCTTCGGCGGAAACGGTCTGGATTGTCGAAGCGAGAAATGAATTATTTGTTTATGTAATATTGAGCCATATTGCCTCCTACATAGAGTATCATACCCTGCAACGGAAACAACAGCGTTACTGCATTCAGGTACTAATTTGTCCCTTGTCATTCCACAACACAGTTCTCAAAAATATTCTGAATCGATCACGGACGCACAAGTACATAGAAAAATTCGTGAGGTCCGCTGGTTCGTTCCGTGGCTTAGTTGGTATAGCGTCTGCCACGGTTTGCTAGAAGACGTCGGTTCGAATCCGGCCGGATCGAAGGAACTTTTCTCTGAGTGTTCGAACCTTGTATTAATCATTGTAACAAACTAGTGGAGTAATTTCCATAAAAAAATTATTGAATATCAATTCAGTAAGAAATTAAAATTTTTCATTGATCAAAAACTATTGCGCAAATTTGAAACTAGTTTTACGTCTTTTCCATAATTGCTTGTTGAGAATTTGGATTTGCAAAACTGGGGGAAATACTTTTTCTTCGACGATAACACTATGTTTGTATTCTAGCCCTTTACGACAAAAATGCGAGGTGACTCGAATTATGTGTCCCTGAGTATATTGTTAAGTAAGCTTCTCAAAAATAAATGCTCATATTTTTTGGTAGGTGTGGTAAGTATCTGTATCTATAATTCCAACCTTTTTTTTTACGTGTACGAGTATATGAAATAGCTGTACGTACCTAAATATTGATTTTTAAACACACCATTCTAACCAAAATTCTTGTTTTGTATGAAAAGGATATTTAGTTCGAATGACAGTCTTTAAACCTGTAAAATATGAAGGAAAATCAGATAGTACCGATCCCATACAAATTGTATTTTTAACTATTTAGTACAGTGTACTATTGACCTCAAAATACTAGAAGTCCATAATAGTTCATGTGAATAAAATTACTAGTTTGGAGCGTTCGTTTAATGTCCGAGCAAGGACAAGACGAACTAACGAACTTGATGAACTAAATGAACTAGTAGACCGACATAGTTCATTAGACAAGTATACAAGACAAGTATAGTAACAATGAGATGTTAAAATTTGATTTTGTGTCAAATTATTTTTTTTTTAGTATAATGGCTTGCTTTCGCATTTAGCCAATTAAAGTGTTGGGAAAGCAGAGTTACAGATTATGGAGAGGCACGGAATTTGAATGAAAAAGGACATGGTAGACTGGGTATGTGGGTAGCTATTTTAAATCGGTATACACATTAAAGCTTGATATTATTATTTTCGATAAATGAGCCCATACATTATATATATCTTTGCTGCATAAATATAGTAAACTTGTAATGGAGGTGAGGAGTGGGACACATTGACAGGAGTTCGGATATGAAAGTATCGTGGTCAATTGAGGGGCAGGAGAAGAAGATATGGTTTAGATGGTCAGGAACAATTTTCAGCTTGAATAGATGCGCTGGAGTGGTCACGTGGCCGAGTCGTAGCCTACAAGTAGTGGAGGTAGTTTTTTTGGTAAATTGCATCTTGCTGGACCATGACTTGCGAGGGATAGTAGTAGTGCTTTGGAGGTATCTGAAATCCAATCTGTATTCCATGCCTCCAATGGATATCGCTTCGGTTGGTTTACTTGGTCAAGGCTATAATTCGCGTAAGGGTGGACGTCCCCGTCCCGAACACGTTCGTTTGCCAGCCTGTCGGATGCCTGACTCGGAATCCAGGCGGGACCAACGGAGTAGCCCTTCGACGAGCATTTCGAGAGGAGATTTCTAGTTTAAAAAATAATAGGCGCTTGTTTATGGCCTTTAAAGGGTCACCGCGTTACCGCCTGTAGGGCGCTACGTGAATCGCTGAATACTATTGCTTTTGACAGTCTCATTATGATCACATATTCGATGGTTTTCAAGTTATTAGACGGACTAACAGACAATTAGGTAAGACAAACGTGCTTTGAATTTGCAACAAGGCAAAGTTTTTTTTTTTTTTAATATATAATAGACACACGCTTGGCCACAATCTCACCTGATGTTAAGCGACGATGTGACCGACGATGGGACGCGTTTGCCTAAAAAATGCCTATTCACTCTAGCCTTGAATAGCCCCAAATTGTACTTTTCGGGAAATACAGATGCCGGTAGAGCATTCCATTCCTTTGCCGTACGCATCAGAAAGGAGGAAGCAAAGCGCTTAGTGCGAATAGGTGGAATATCAACGACATAAGAATGGAGTGCTCCGGACTTTCTAGTCGACCGAAGGAGGAACGGTGAGGGCGGAACCAAATTGAAAAGTTCCTGCGCACACTCCCCGAAATGTATCCGATAGAAAACCGACAAGCAGGCTACTTTCCTGCGATGATCGAGATTTTGGAGCTTCGACTCCACAAGAGGATTATTGTTAATAAGTCTAAGTGAAAATCGGTGAAAACTTCTCGATTGACCTGCAATCTTTATATAACGTTGAGTTCTGGAAAAGTATAAAAAACATATGATTCGACATATCACAGACCGTATTGTATCTTTCTTATAGGATATCCGTCCATTTGGTACAATGGGGTCATTGTCCTCGTCGTACAATCGTATCATATAAATGTATTGTTATGCCAAAGATATCAAAATGGCTCATAGTAACGACGACACATCGACCCCTCCTACGTAAAGTATCGTATGTCGAAATTGCCAAGTTTA